CTTATTATGAATGTCCAAATAAAAGAACTTCTGGGTAGCAGTGACCATAACATGATTTCATTTATTGTTAGCTGTAAGCAGTGAGCACATACAGGAAAAAAAAAACGCTTTTTTAAGAGAGCTAATTTTCCAAGGCTGCGAGTTGCTCTCCAATACTTAGACTGGGAGGGAATATTGGCATCGATGAACACAACACAAAAATGAGAGTTCTTCAAAAAGACTGTATGTGAACACACTGCAAAATATATTCCCATGGGCAACAAGTTTAAAAGGCTAAAAATCAAACCTATGTGGCTTACGGACAAAGTTAAAATAGCTATAGATAATAAGAAAAGAGCTTTTATTAAATAAAAAAATGAAGAAACACTATCATCGTTTAAACATTACAAAGAATATAACAGAATATGTAAAAAGGAAATAAAGTCCGCAAAAAGTTAAAACGAATGACAGATTGCAAAAGATAGCAGGACAAACCCCCAAAAATTCTTCAAATATATTAATAGTAAAAAGGTCCGGTCCAAGCATGTAGGCCCTTTACAAAATAATCTAGAGTGGGTGACTGGGGACAAAGAGAAGGCAAATTTATTAAATACCTTCTTCAGCTCTGTGTATACAAAGGAGCATGGGGGAGCTCTTGTCCATAATGGGCATGGTATTGACACAGCTCCAGATGATCCACATTGGCTCACAATTGATATGATCCAAAAATATTTAGACAGAATAAAGGTGAATAAAGCACCTGGACCAGATGGCATACACCCAGGGGTCCTTAACCTCCTTGGCGGTATGATTATTTCCGATTTTTTTGTGCTGAAAGCAGTACCATTTTTTTGCATGGAAATATGTAGTTTTTTATTGTATGCTGTAATTTTTAGGAATAACTCACTGAAATCTGTCCGAACAAGAGTCTAGTAAACATTCCGGATATGATAAAACTTGAAACACGAAATCATAAATTATAATTTAATAAATAATCATAAAAAATAATAATATAATAATAATATATTTAATTCAATAATATAATCAAACCAAAAACACTGAAATTTGAAATACAGAGGCAAATTCGCACATCGCTGAGCAAAGTCGCAAAATCGTTTTCAGTGTCTGATGACGAATTTCCCCACGAATCATTATCACTCAATTCTGCAAGTGGTTCTGATTTACTATCACTGTTCTCTAGCTGGTCTAAACCCGCTTTTGACATAAAGGGACACTTTTTGGACGCCATGGACTTTTCTAAGTTTCCAGGCAGAAAGAACAGTCAAAATGCAGGCAGGGCACAGGACAAAGCAGTAGGGACAAAATATATGTGAAATGCATTGAAACAGCAATGTTTTACTATATAATAATCATTTTTTTAAAAATGACATTTTTAAAAAATTTCAAATTTGCCGCCGCCCGTACGTCCCGATGTCACAGGGACTGGAACACGGAAGCCGGATGCCGGCATCGGCCGGAGGAGATAGCCGAGGATGCTGCAGGGGACACATCGTGGGAGCGAAGGACAAGGTAAGTGCTGCAGGGACTCCCTGAGCAACGCCGCATGGTAAGCCTGAGTGTAGCTCGGGGTTATCGCTCTTGGTACTGAAATTTTACCCCGAGCTACACTCGGGAATACCGCCAGGGAGGTTAAAGAACTGAGCTGTCATTTCAAGCCACTGTTTCTAATTTTTAGGGGCTCTTTAATGACTGGCATAGTACCAAGTTCATATTTATTTTTACATTTATTGTTTACTGTTTATAGTTTACAGTTTTTATTTTTATTTATTTTATTTTTTTATTATTAAGTCAGCGCTGCACCATTACTTTTATGGTATTCAAAGAGTAGTGGTTAATGATTCATACTCTGAATGGTCTAGGGTTGTCAGTGGTGTACCCCAAGGTTCAGTGTTGGGACCCTTACTTTTTAATATATTTATAAACGATATAGGGTCTGAGATTAAAGATCCCATTTCAGTCTTTGCAGATGACACCAAGCTGTGCAGTGGAATAACGTCCTTACATGATGTCTTCAATTCACAAGCCAACCTCAATGTACTGTTTAATTGGGCAACTATGTGGCAAATGAGGTTTAATCAGGGGCGGACTGACCATTTGGAAACTCGGGCACTGCCTGAGGGCCCGGGGTCCGTAGGGGGCCCCATGAAATGCCCCTGGTACCTTTTTCATAGGCTTTTTTGAGTTTGGGCAAGGACACGGGCCCCATGATCCCCTATTGCCCAAGGGCCCCATGAGTTGTCAGTCAGACCTGGGTTTAATGTTGATAAATGTAAGGTTCTGCACTTGGGGGCTAAGAATATGCATGCATCATACATACTGGGGGGAGTACAACTGGGGGAATCAATGGTGGCAAAGGACTTGGGAGTTCTGGTAGATCACAAACTTAATAATGGCATGCAATGCCAAGCTGCAGTTTCTAAAGTGAGCAAAATCCTCTGTTGTATTAAAAGAGGTATAGACTCCAGAGAGAGAGATATCATATTACCCCGGTACAAATCATTAGTAAGACCTCATCTGGAATATGCAGTTCAGTTCTGGTCACCAATTCACACAAAGAACATTGGGGAACTGGAGAAAGTACAGAGAAGGAGAAGGGCAACTAAACTGATAAGAGGCATGGAGGAGCTCAGCTATGAGGAAAGATTAGAGGAACTGAATTTATTCTCTCTTGAGAAGAGGAGCTTAAGGGGGGATATGATCCACATATATAAATACATCAGTGGTTCATATAGTGTAGAGCTATTCACTCTGAGGTCATCACAGAGGACAAGCAGGCGCTCTTTACATCTAGAGGAAAATAAATATAATCTCCAAACATGGAAAGGTTTCTTCACAGTAAGAGCTGTGAAAATGTGGAATAGACTCACTCAAGAGTTGGTTCTGGCCAGCTTGCTTTAAAAAAGGCCTGGATTCTTTCTTAGATACACAGAATATAACCGGATACTAACATGTATAGGTAAAGTTGATCCAGGGAATGTCTGATTGCCTCTTGGTGGATCAGGAAGGAATTTTTTTCCCTGCAGGAGTAAATTGGATCATGCTTTGCTGGGGGTTTGTTTTTGCCTTCCTCTGGATCAACTGTGGGTATAGGATTATTAACTTTTTTTTTTTTTTAATCATTGAACTGGATGGACTTTTGTCTTTTTTCAGCCAGACTAACTATGTAACTATGTAATTATAATAATTTGGCAGATATACTGTACCTGTTTAGTTGATGGCAGCTTCATGATCAGGTACACACGTAATATGATCCCTGTGGAGGCAATTATACAACGTAGCATGTTTAGTTATAAATTACCTTTTTATTGCCAGGATATGCATGGGGTAGGCTTAGTTTACAAACTATATATAATATATACTCCCATTCCTATTAGTTGTAATCACATTGGTTGGACAAGATCTGACCATCTGGAGAATTGAAACATCTCTTTCCTGCTAGATTCCTTGATTTGAGATTGTGGTTGTTTTTCTAATAAATTACTACAGTGTACAGCAAAGAGCAAAGGAAACAATAAAAGCAGCTGGTACAGTAAATATCCTCTTCTATGCCTCTTAGCTTATTAAACTGGCTAGTGATTTCATCAGACAAGTGACATTGTCTCTATAGCAACCCTGAGAATGCTGTGGCGTGAGAGTAAAAGAATGAGCTAGAGGCTCATTAATTTTGCTAGTGCTTGCATGGTAGAGGGAAACAAAGAAGCGTAAAATTTTCAGGCAGCAAAAAACCAAAACCAAAGAGAGTCCTATGGGGTTGCTTTCTTACCAAAAGATAATTGCCACCAAAAATAAAATTAAAATTGCTTTATTATTAAACACGTGTAGAACAAAACATCAAATACTGCCAGATTTACCCCAAACATTATTATCCTTTTGGTGGTCAGATATTTACATATAAATTATATAGCTACAGTTCTTATCAAGGTGTGAATGGCTGTAAATAAATGTTGTATGTGAATACATATAATGTTCCATACGTATTTTTTCATTTATAAATTTTCTAGTTAATGTAACATAAGAAAACTAAAATGATAGAACATGAGGATGTTTCATAACCCAAAACTTCCCCTTCTAGCTTTCCGAGCTGTGTGCCTATCTCTTGGTACTTTCTGCTTTTTGTTTCCCTGTTTTTGTTTTTTTTTTTAACTTTGAATGGAGTGATCGACTCAATGCAAAATAGTGAATGACTTATGATGGTTAAAATCTCTATTGTTTTTTTTCCCCATCTTTATCCCATTCGGGAGATTTCCCTTCACTTCTTTTACTGTAGACACAATTTTTATAATATTAATTACCAAATAAATGTATTGTATATCTAGTAACATTACTTCTCATATAGCATTAGTTTATACTTTTTATGTGATATAGATATTATGTAGTTTATAAAATTAATATGGATATTTCCTCTATTAAGGTAGTTCCAATAACAACTGGTAACATTTTTGGGTTAAGAACTTTTTAATCATGTTTAAAGTATAACTTAGGATTGCTGGATGACTTTTCCTTATGTAAGATCATAAATTATTTTTAATATTTTTAGTTAGTTTAGGCTTTTGGACCTGTTGAACCTTGTATGACTGCCCTAACTTATTCTTTATTTTTTGTAGCTTTAAGTTGTTGTAGTTATTGTTTTATTTTTTTTGTAAATTAATTTTTTCTCTGTGTGTCTGGCATCAAGCTCCCCCTGGGTTATGGAACTTGTGTATTCCAAAGCCCTATTATTGAGATTTGTATCTAATTAACCAAAATAATATCACGCAGGAACATTACCATTTTTACTCTAGTCATACTACACTGATGCCTCGTCTTCCACTCCAGTTATCAGACTCCATATTTCTACAGCATTTTACGGAACTGACTCTGTCACAGAGCTTCTCCAGTTGGTGGTTTATGTAACACAGCAGTCCTTCTTACAGTTCTAAAAAGATAACAAAACTACCGTGGATAATTTTTAGACCAAAACTGTAAATGGATACAACTTACATGTTATTTTATATTTGCAGCTTGGTCTGAAACGGTTTTACAGCGTTGGAATTCTTGGCTTTAATGCTCCAGAATGGTTTATTTCTGCTGTAGGAACAGTGTTCGCCGGGTAAGTGTAAAGTTACTCAATTTTCACATGTTTGAGGTGATTGTAGCCGTATTAGTGCATTTCCGACAGAAACAATTGAGTACTGTCCATGATACTTTTTTTATTTGCACTAATATACATTTTTGAGGACAAGCTTTTGGGGTATGTCCCCTTCTTCAAAGTCTAAGCAGTACTATACAAGTCACAAAGTTTCAGCAGAATGTTAGAAGAGATGAAGAAAAAAAAAAAAAAGAGGCTAGAGATAAGATACAGCCAAAGCGAGGGGGGGATACTACACTCACACAGAGGGAGTCAAGCTTCAGCTAATAGTCATAAAAACTGTTGGATAATGAGTGAGGAATCCCATGTCCAAATTAAGGCCGTTATCTCTTGTGTCAAATAGAATTATCATTCTTAGTTCAAAAGTTTTTCTTTCCTGAATGGATTTGAAATTTCCTTTAAGAACTAAAAATATTGAGGTCTCCCATTGTGTGGCTTGGTTGTGCGAAATGGTGTCCTACAGATGTGCAGAGGTCATCTTCTTTATGTTCCTTGATGGTATGTCTGTGCAAATTCATCCTTGTTTGCAACTTCTATCCTGTTTCGCCAACATAAGATCCTTTGCTGCATTTTCTGCACTGGATAAGGTACACAACATTACTGGAGGTGCAGCTGTATGATCCGGAAATAGTGAAGATCCCTTTTGAGTGTCTGACACATTTTGATGGATTGATTTGGTTGCACAGTTTTTTTTTTTTGTTTCTTTTTTCTTCATCTCTTCTAACATTCTGCTGAAACTTTGTGCAGCCAATAGTTTTTGTGATTACCTTACTTGCTGAAGATTGTGAAGAGAAATGAAATTGTGGAGAGAAATCTAATTACAATAGTACATGTTATATTTCAAGTATAACTAAAGGCAACACTTTATTTTTAGTTTTGGTTAGAGGAGAGAGAGATTAGTACACCTGCAAGTTTTTATTGCTCTGTGTCCCCGTTAGGGAGATGTTCCCTCTCTATTTGTCCTGTTTACCATTATCATTAAAAGTGAAAGTAAAAGAAAATCCCAAATTTTGGGTTGTCCCCAGAAAAGTAGGGGTCCCCAAGAGATTCCCTTAATTTGCAGGGATTTCCTCTCACTTCCTGTTTTGGCTATGGGACAGGAAGTGAAGGTAATTCTCCCCAGTGGGACCAAGAGAGTAAAAATAAACCTTACAGGGGTTATAACCCTCCATTATTCTATCCAAAATGAAAAAAAAAAGTTTTACCTATAGTCTTACTTTAAGGCAAATGCAATTTCTGGCCATTTACTTTAATAACCTTTTAATGTTATAGCAAATAAGAGGTCCACAGGTGCCTCTGTGAAAGGGCCTACAATATCAATAGCAAGCTTTTCCCAAGCAGAATTGGAAAATGCCACTGGCTGCAATGGTGGAGTGTGTGAATGACAAATAATGCAAGACTGAATGACAAGTATAAGTAAGTCTATAGTCTTTGCTTTATTCTCACAATTATTTGGTGACTCTCATGTACAGGTTGTACAAGGCACATTCTCTCCAGGTCTTTGGTAATAGTAAGCGATGAGGTCCACAGATAATATAGCTATCAACTAAGGACAGTTTATGTTAAATCTTGTAGTATGGTCATAAAACGGGGCTCAGTTTACTTTCAGAGTTGTCCCACAACTATACTTGTACTGGGCATCAAAAACAAGCTTGCTTAAACTGAGATGTGGAACGGCATCAATATCAGTAAATATAACTTCAAAAATATAACAACTTCAACATTCTTATCCTGTGTACGAGAATCTGCAGGTATGGGAAACTGTGACAAACAACCAGCACTAACTTTTTTTAAAAACACAATCTGATGACAACACAAGCCAGGTAATACACTAGGCTGTCTCGGTAAAGTGTGGTAGTCGCTGTGTGCTATTGTAAGCTTGTGTTTTTATGAATGAAAGCCCTTTCCTCCAGCTACAATCATTCACAACACAAGCTGACAGTTTCCACTTTCAGTGCACTGAATAGCAAACTGCGGCTCCAGACTGTGTAAACTAAACAGCACAGATTAGAAAACAGCACAGCTCTGTCTAACAGCTTATGGGCTATGCAGGCTCCATGTGCACTGCTTGCCACCGCTCTCTCTTCCAGAGCGGTCACTCAGAAACTCATCTCAGTTGCATTGCATGACCGCTCAATTGTCAGATGAAGTAACACAGTGCTGTAAAGCAAAAAATGGCCTGATCAGGAAGGGGGATAAATCCTCTGGAGGGAAGGAGGATAAGAAGGGGGCTAGGGGAACCTCAGCTATGAGGAACGGTTGCAAACACTCAACCTATCCTCCTAAGAGAAGAGACGCTTAAGAAGAGATATGGTCAGAAAATACAAAAACATAAATTACATATGGTAAATACAATGCCCGCGGGCCAAATTTGGCTTGCCAGGCCATGTCATGTGGCCCTCACACTAGGGGCTTTTTTTCTGCTCTCTGCTATTGCTGCCTATGCTGCTAGACTAGTACACTAGTACAAGAGCCAGGCTGGGTAATTGAGATGTGAGTAAGCTTTGGAGGGAGAAGATGAGGGCTGTGGAGGGAGATGTGTGCGGGGCTGGGTGATGCAGGAAAGTGATGTAGAGGTCACAGCCCTACACTCTGGACATAGCTCACACTCCTGAACTCTGCACTCTGTGCACTCCTGAACTCTGCACTCTGTACACAGTGCACTACCTGAACTCTGCACTCTCTATGTAGCACACTCCTAAACTCTGCACTCTGTTCACTGCATACTCCTGAACTCTGCACTCTCTATGTAGCGCACTCCTGAACTCTGCATGTAGTGTACTCCTGAACTCTGCACTTTGTACATAATGCACTCCTGAACCCAACATGCTGTACGCAGCACACACCTAAACCCTGCACTTGGTACACAGCACACCCCTGAACTCTGCACGTAGTGCACCCCTGAACTCTGCATTCTGTATGTGGCACACCCCTGAACTATGCACTCTTTACGTAGCGCACCCCTGAACTCTGTACTATGTACATAGCGCACCCTTGAACTCTGCACTCTGTACATCACATACTCCTGAACTCTGCACTCTGTACATAGAACACTCCTGAACTCTGCATACATAGTCTTACAGATACAAATGGCTCTTTGGAGCACAACCAAAATACTGATTTGGTCTGTGGTGAAATTGAGTTTGACACCCCTGATCTAAATGATAATTCTAGTATTCAGGAGAAAACTATTCTCTTAAGAAGACATGCAGCCACTCAGTTAATGACCTTAAATTGTGTAAGGGGTTATTTACTGTTAGACCGGTAAGGATGTGGAACTCCTTTCCACAGTTGGTGGTGTCAGCGGGAGTGTAGATAAATTAAAAAATCTTTTAGATGTGTTTCTTAGCAAATGCAGTCTACAGGGATTTGAGAAATGGTAGTGACCTAAAAAATATACACACGCATGCACAAACATTGAACTGGATGGACTGGTGTCTATATTCAGTCTTGCCAACTATGTGACTATGTAATCACTTTCTGCTTAAAGGAAGTAACAAACAGTTCTCTAAAAGTCTCATGGATAGCTCATTCAGCTGCAGTAATTGTCTAATCTGACATGCCGTGTCTTCTCTCATTCTGATATATCTACTCCATATCTCATATACAAGTCCAGCAAAGCTCCTTTCACATATATCCAAAAGGGAGTTTTTGCAAGGCAATTATTACACACCTGGGCAGCCTGAAACACATGATAATATAACGTTGGAAAACTCCCTTTTGGATATGTGTAAAAAGACTTTCTGGACCCTTAATACATCACATATTGTTACACTTTTACCATGAAATGGAATAAGCATTGAGCAGTGTATCATCAATAGAAGCATATATAGGGATGTTTGGTGAGAGTATTTATGCCACTTTTGGGGTTCAAAAGCCCTCCTTTTTCTTATTAGTTTTTAAAAGGTTACAACACTTAGTGGAGTACTTTTGAAGCTGCATTTTTTTACGTGATCACACATATTGTTTACAAAGTTCTTTTCACAGTCCAGTGTGTAAGGGTGCTTCTGATTGGCTGAGTGTTAGTGCCAAAAAGATGCAAGTCCCCTCTTATGATATAACAACAACCCACATGCTTGTAGCCCTTTACCTCCGGCATAATGAGTCCAACTCCTTGCCAGAGGCCTTCCACAACATTCCAGGCCATTAGCTTTTACATTCAAAAGAATGGAATGTCCACACAAATATAGTGCCTGCACTTTGCTGGTGTTCTTCAAAAGATGGCAATGACAAATCACATCACATGGACATTCTATCCAGAGTCGCTTGCCCTCACTTTGCCAATCACACATTGGGTGGACGTACCATAACAGTCATCATGTGAAAGCAGCACAATACACATCAATTCCAAGCCATCTTCCCTTTTTGCACAGTGTCTCTCCTTCCCAGGGTCATCCGTACCCACTCAGACTTCACCTAGGCTCTATGAATCCAGCTCATGACTCTCCGCATGTTGTTCCACAGACAGTATAGCTTCAGCTGCTCCTCTACCTCAGTACACTTCTCCCAGGACCTCCAGAGGAATAGTACTCTTGACAGAGAACACTTGGCCTGGCCTAAAAGGCCTTTTGGAACTTGCTCCACCAGCCATAAAGAGACAGTAAGACATCCGGCTCTTCCAGGTGCAGAGCTATCTCACCCTGTTCTCTGCATAGCTCTAGGTATCTGCATGTTGGTGGGTTATCTGGCTCCCAAGTCCCACTGCACTAGGCTCCTCCCAATCTGATATGTATATATGGGCACTAACTCTACCCATTACATCACTACAGAAATGCTTGTCTAAAGGGACCTACTGTAACACCCAATGGAATTGTTGTGATATGACTATCTACTAATTGTAGATCTAGTGTAGTATAACAGTCCCTACCTAGTATGGTGCCTTTATTTTACACTGTAGAATTGATTGAAATTTTACAGTTACTTGCAGTCAACCAAGCACAGGAATAGAGGCTCTAAAGATA